AGTTTTCAAAATTCTTTCATACACTCTTCCTTTCCAATCCGAGTACCAGGCCACAAGAAGTAATTCATAAGAAACCATGAAGATGAAGCACAAGACAAGTTCCCATATAAGATTTCATGCTTTTTTTTTCTTCTTTCGTTTCAACCCTTTTCCCCTAATAAGTCTAGCATAGGTTCTCCTTATTCTTATGTCTATATGCCAAGTTCCATCAATGAGTATTTCTTTTCCTTTGCATTCGATCATGTCATTCGCCAAAAAAAAAAAAAAATCAATTACCGAACTAAACACAAGGTACACCAATGACTTGAGGCACCTTTGCAACCCTGTCATTCCCTGTTAACCGTTCAATCACATATCCATTTCTTCATCAACCATTTTGAGCCTCGTATAACGGTTGACCTTTTTTATTCAACCCACATTCACTTAACCCTAGGATGGGAAGGTGTGTAATTGTATAACATTCAAAAAGCAAGTAAAAAAAAGTAGCAAACCAACAATAAAACAATGTCTAAGGGCAAGTGTTCCAATGTCTTTGATATGAACACGTCTCAAATTGCGTCTCTCATCGAGTGCTTGGTACCGTGTCTGAGAAACATGAATTCTAAGTGAGTGATGGACCGCATGATTTGAGATTGCCCACATTGATTCAAAAAAAAAAAAAAAAAAAACTTCAAAAAAAAAATGAAAATAAACTTGCAAAATTCAAAATTTTCAAATTCATGATTACATATCTTGGGGATTCTCTCGGGTCTTGAGCCTTGTACCCTTTTCTTCTTTAAACCATCAACTTAACCATATTACAACCCTTGAAAGACCTCTTTGAGGTGTACATACACTTGTGCAAAGTTCGGTTAGAGCTACGTTCGGCCTGATTCCTAACGGATACGTAGGCAACCTCACATTGAGGCGCGGCCACATTCATATTCATATGCATAATCAAGTCGAAGAATATCCAATGCTTAATCCTATGACCCTACCCATTTAGAGATAGACTTGGGGGCTTGAACCCATATCACATTAGCTTACCCAGCCTAAAGAGTCATCATCTTTGACTCTTCTCACATATATTTCCATCACCATAACCCTTGCAGCCAGCCTTAGTATTACATTCACACACTTCACTCACACATCCATATCCATATCAATCATCCTTCCCTTTAAGAGTCCTTTATCATGAAATCTTGTTTAAACAATGTGCATGTTTCATCATCTTTCAGGACAACATGAATTAAAAGAAACATTGTATACTTGCTTAGCTTCCTGACCTGAGAAATGTTCATTGTTTCACGCATCGCATAATGTGTTGAGAAACATTTATATATCAATGATTTTTAATCATACAAAGCATATCGTGCTTAGCTCCTTGACCTAAGCAACGTTCATTATGCAATAATCATTTCATCTATATGCGTGCTTAGCTTCCATACCTAAGTGACGTTCAAGATCGTTTCTTTACACCATATATGATGCTTAGCTCCATCGTGTCACATGATGTAATTGTCCTTAGACTCCTGGCCTAAGGACATGCATCATACATACATTACTTTCAAGAAAAGCAATTCAATCCATGCGATTCATTTTGTCTTGCTCAACGAGGAAGTTCAAAACTTCTTTCCTTTTTTCGCGTCTTTTCTTTTGGGGAAGTTTAAAAAAACTTTTTCAAAATTTTCTCATCGAGGGAAGGTCGAAAATAAAAGTTCAGTTTTCACATCTTCCTTTTTCGGGAGAAAGTTGGTACCCTCCACTCATGGAAAAAATTGGCGGAAAATTTTTGCATTTGCATCTTTCGTTTGCTTGTGTCTGCACACTCACAAGTCATACACATGTCATGTCACATCAAGTCAAACTTTGTCAATTCAGTGGTCAAGTCAATCACAACATATACGAGTCCATTGGCAAATTTATTTTTGCAGGTCTCATCTACAGCCCACGTTCGGGGACAAGCGGACCAACAACAACCAACGTCCGGGGACAAGCAGACCATCTATAGCCCACGTCCGGGGACAAGCGGACCATCTACAGCCCACGTCCGGGGACAAGCGGACCATCTACAGCTCATGTTCGGGGACAAGCGAACCATTTACAGCCCACATTCGGGGACAAGCAAACCAACTACAGCCCTCGTCCGGGGACAAGCAGACCATCTACAGCCCACGTTCGGGGACAATCGAACCACCATCATTCATGACGCAAGATTCTCGATACACAGAGACTTGCAATCTCATCATCTGTCAACTTTCCTCGAGCATGGAAAGTATTATCCAGTGGATTTCTTCAAGCATAGAAAACCGCCAAATTCCTTTGTCGGCTTTCCTCAAGCATGGAAAGCATTATCGGTGGATTTCTTCAAGCATAGAAAAACGCCAAAATCATATGTCGACTTTCCTCAAGCATGGAAAGTATCATCCAGTAGGTTTCTTCTAGCTTAGAAAGCTACCAAACTCATTTGTCGGCTTTCCTCAAGCATGGAAAGCATTTCAACAAATGTCATCCGGTGGATTCCTTCAAGCATAGGAAGCTACCAAGCTCATTTGCCACCAATACACTGGTGTTAGATAAGCATTTTATCCCTTTACTCTTTTATCTGTAGAACTAACATTTTTCTGCAAGTATCGGCGTATACAAAATGATTTAGGATCGCAAAACGTCTTAAATCATTCTCCGTCCCTATCAACTACTTTGACTATCGTTTTTGAAACTGACGTTTCTACAAACTCAGTCAAAGTGGGGGCTTCTGTAAACACCTAAAAATGTCTCCCCAAAACCAAACTCGATGATGAACAACCTTTCATCGCCATTATTGGTTGGGTTGATTATTTAATCTTGGAGTGCTTAAATACATATTTCAGTTTCATAAAACAACCCAAATTCAAGCCCATTTTCCCAAAACATAAATTATTTTCCTCTTTTTATGCCTTTAAACCCAAAATAATTCATTTTGTGTCCTTTAAAATCATTCATTTCGTGTCCTTTTTATAAAAACGTTTGATCCAGGTTATTTTGGTCCATAATCTAGGTCCAATGATTGAAAATAGCTTTCCAACGATATATTATAAACCCAAATCCGAGTTATAACGAATAAGTTATGACCAAAATATTAAACTGAGCCCAAACCGAACCTAAGCCCACCTTACCTACGACCCAATGATCATGTGGAGGGTCCAAATTATTTAATCTTATTCCTAAATAAATTAGATTAATTGGAAGATTCCATAAGTTTCTAAAAGATCCTAATTCTCCCTTTTGAAAAGATAAGATTAAAGAGTTTGAAATTGAATAAAACTCCCTTTTTTGAAATTCCTAATTTTATTCGAATTGAAAGATGTTCAAAGATAGACATATATTATTTTCTTGCATCATAGTTTTTATCCAAATTTTATATGGTTGGATATCCCTTAAAATTATCATTCAAATGATATATTATAATTCAATTCCGAGCAATAACGGAAAAGATATGAATAAAATGTCAAACTCTATCCAAAACTGACACCGTCTAACTATTTCGGCCATATCTTTTATTATATAAAATATTTTAATCTGATTCTAATTGGGTTAGAAAGTAGACTTCAAGAGATTTCCAACGATATCTTATTCATGTTATTCTGATTTCTGGATCAAAAGATATGATAAAAAAAAACCGCAAAAAGTGTAGTCTATCGAGTTTAATTCCGATTTAATTCGGATCTTATCTTGTTTTTTCGACCTTTCTTTTTTTCTCTATAATAGAGGTCATATCTCCCCTTTTTCAATCATCAACAAGCTTGATCATAAAAACCTTCTCTCTTCCTCTCTTTTACACTAAAAATCATTCTCTTCTCTCTCCCATATTCTAAGCATTAAACCTATATTCCTAATTACACCATTCTTCCCTTAAGCACTCCAAGGAGTCTATACTAAACCCGAGGTTCCATCCTTAAACCAAGGCGTGAAAGGTATAAATAACTGAGGGTTTGGACCAAATCAAATCTATATTTATTTAATTTAATTTTCATTTGCTTTCTATTTTTTTTATTGAAGTTACTAACAGTTTATTCATGATGTAGCAATTTAAAGGAACGCGCAGAATGTGAGTAATTAATTAATTTAATTACTCTTATTTTATTTTTATATTGCTAGCATCATGATTAGGTTATTATTATTATTTGATTTGACTAACGATATTATTGTTAAATTGCTTCCAATATTAATGTTTATTCTATTATTGTTTATTGATCACCATATTGCATGTTTAATGGGAATATGTAATTGAAAATCACGCCTAATAAGATAATTTGGACGACCGGTTTAGGTTCCTTTTTAATCTTGTTGTTAAATCAAGTGATCACAAATATTTTAGAATTATGTGTTGCATTAATATTTAACCAATTTAGCCTAATAATAGTTTGGAGCAAATTGAATCTTTGTTTGTATGCCTTTGAGATCACAGGAATCACTTTTCACTATAAGAATCGAGTAGAGGCCAATACGGGCGAATGTGACTCCATGACTCACTTCGTACCATCATCCCCGATCCTCCTTTCATGGTTCCGAACCATATGGAGTTAGTAATCTCATGGATTATGAATGGGGTGTAACCTTCACGGGTCAATCGTTGTTGCCTTCGTTGTCCCTTGATCGTGGTTGCCTTTTATGATCTGTGAACGGTTTACAAGTTCCTTAAAAACTTGTTGGCGACTCCCTACTTTCCTTGTCCCTAACGTATTATGTCAATTCCCACTTCCTAAAAGTGCCAAGCATATTCACACATGCTTTTAACGTAGGCGTACTTCGAACGTACCTGTAGGCGTCGTTCGAAGTGGTCTACATGATTGAAATATTGGCACTCTTAGGAAGTAAAATTAGGAAGTCAATTCCCAATATTTAAGTAATGGAATAGAGATTAACTATTTCAATCTATATTTATTTAATTAAAAAAAATAGAGACCATTTATTTAGGAGAAGTGGTCTCTCCTTTTTTTAATTAAATAAATATATAAAAGAGAGAGACCATCTATTTACAAAAAGTGGTCTCTCATTTTTTGAATTAGATAAATAAATAAAAGAGAGACCATCTATTTACAAAAGTGGTCTCTCCTTTTTTTAATTAAATAAATAAATAAAAGAAAGACCATCTATTTACAAAAGTGGTCTCTCCTTTTTTTAGTTAAATAAAAAATCATCGATTTACAAAGTCAGGTTCCAAAAAAAAAAATTAAAACTCTAAAAACTCGGCAAAGAGGAAAACCCAAACCCTAATTTCATTTCCTAAAAAAACCCATACCCCCACCCCCTCTCTCCCCCCTCTCTCTCTCTCTCTACACCTCCGGCCGCAAATTCCACCAATATCTTCATCGGCGGTGCCGAAATCACTCATCCAAACCTATTCATCAGCAACGTCATCACCTTAACGAAATCACTCATCCAAAGCTCGTCGACGCCGGAATCCGACTCCGATTAAGCGGCTACAGCTTCCTCGCTATCGCAATCCCTAACCAAATGCTGAAGTTCGTCGATCTCGAGTCTTTGCTGCCGTCGACGGTGCTTCTAGCGAAACTCTCACCATCACAACTCCAGACGGTTGCTCGCGGCTTCACTCTCTCCCTCTCACAGTTGCTCCACCAGAGCAAGTAACGTCGTCGTTGTCACGCTGGGCCACCACCTGCTCTTCCCATCATTCCATTAAAGGTTAGTTCTTTATTTTTTTTTATTTTTTGCGAATTATTTTTTAAAATTCGTAGAAATTTTTTAAAACTGCAAACACAATTATTTCCATTCCTTAATTTTACAAATTAATTTTTCCTTCCATTCTCTGCGAATTAATTTTTCCTTCCATTTGACACTAATTTTATTCCTAGTTTTTTAAAATTCGGATCTTTAATTTAAATTCCCATCATCTGATTGGTATGTTTATGAATATTTTAGCTAATATGTTATTCTCAATTCTAGCTGAAATTGTGGGAATTAAAATGCTCTAATATGTTATTCTCAATTCTAGCTGAAATTGTGGGAATTAAAATGAGAATTAAAATGCTCTTTATGATGTTTGTCTTCTAGTTCATTTGCTTATCTGCTTTTCTTTTCGTTCTCCAAACTTTCAAGGTTGACTCTTTCTCTTGACCCCTGAGACTTCCTTAAGTAGCTTGCGTTTTATCTCCCAATTGGTGTCTTTCTGGTTGCATTGGTCTTTCTGGTTGCTTGGCTCACTGTCTGGCTCCTTTGCCTTGCATTGGTTTGCTACTGTTGGCTTACGCCTCTTCCTATTGTACACAACCCACGGTTGTTGAGTCATCACAGAACGTCTAAACATTACCTGGGAGAGAGGCATCCAATTCCTCGAACATGTTAGCCCATGGCCTGGATGAGATTGGCAGGAGGATGATTGTAGATATCTCGTTCTATTTCTGCTCCCCTCCTGGTCTTAACCAGCCCTACATCAAGGAACTTGCTAATTCCTTTTCCATGTTAGAGGCAACTAATCACATGCCTTCTTTTGCTGCTGCTCCTAAGTCCCTGTTACAGGGCTCCCCTATCAACTATCACTTCTACATTTCTTTCATGCTTTTATTTTTAGCTAATCTTTACTTTCCGTCTTTCGATTGGTTAAGGTTTCTTGGTTTGCAATTTTCAGCTAGTAAGCAAACTTGGAAACTGCTTCTGCTTACAAACTCTGATCTGCTAGATGTTTTAACATCTAAGTTGTAATATATTTCCTTTCCTTGTTAAAAAAAAAGAAAAAAGATGAAAAAGTGAGCTAAGGTTGTGGATTGAGGATGTTCATCAATATGCTTTGTTATGTCTGATTTTTCAGCTTTTGGTTAGATATCTCTCTGATTTCCGTTAAAATTAAATAAATAAATTATACTCTTATTTGATGGCATATGTTGTAGGTTGCAGGTATTTCCCTCGATTTGTACATATTCTTCGGAAGACATTGATGAAATGCCAGATTTGTGGATTAAATATGTTCTTTTTTGAAGAAGATTCGTGATAAATGAGCTTAATGATGAATGAGTTGAGCTTCAGTACGAGATTAGCTTAGTGTTAATCATTATACTTGTGAATTTAGCTCCACTTTTGAAACTTTTTTTTTTTTAAGGAAAAGCTCTACTTTTGAATATTAGAATTAATGTAAATTTTGGGTTATGTTGGAGAGAATTAGTTTTTGTATTAAAGCTTTTATATTTATATATATATATATGTAGGGGTGTACACCGGTCCAAAACCGGATCGGACCTGGACCGGACCTGTTTGGACCGGGGACCTGAATTGGGTAATTATGAGGACCGGGGACCGGACCTGAATTAACAGGTCCGGTTCCGGGCCAGACCTGAAAAATCAGGTCCGGTCCGGGTTTGGACCTGAATGGACCTGTTTTGTGTCTTTTTCGTTTTTTTTTTTTTTTTAATACAAAACCTGTTGGACCTGCATATGGACCTGTTTTGTGATTTTTAGACCTGTTGCATAATTTAATAATTACATACAAACCAAAATTATCAATTACAAAACTACATAAAGTCTATAAAGTCCCGATTCTCAAACACCAAAAATACAAATGAGTCCACCGAAAATACAAATAAGTCCACGAAAACTCATAAAATTACATAAATTCTCTTAAGTCTCAACTCTCAACTCTCAAGTACTAGGAATACATAAATTCTCCAACGAGTTGTTTTCCCTTTGATCGCGTGATTCACACTAATGAGTCCACGAAAACAACTTCATCGTCTACATCGTTAGATTCACCACGTTGCACCTCTAAATAAAATACAATATAGAATATATTAATGATTGATAACAATGAAATAATAAATTTGGTGTAACAAAATTTCAAATACATAAAATTATTACTACCTTTCTCTATTTCCTCTAACTCTTTCAAATTTTCTTCCACATCAACAATTGGCACTTCCTTAGCTCTAAGCCAATCTTGTGTGCAAAGTAACGCTTGAACCATCTTCAATACAAAAATATTACACAAATATGTATAAACAAAGTCATATTAAGATATAAACAAACTTGATTTTATAAAATAAAAAGATAACGATGCATTACCTTAGGAGTTAAAGAACTCCGAAATGGATCTAGAGTACGACCTCCCGTACTAAAAGCAGATTCCGATGCAACGGTCGACAATGGGATGGCTAGTATGTCACGTGCCATGCGATTAAGAATCACATAACGCTGACCATTCTTACCCCACCATGTCAATGCATCTTGTTCTTCCTCCTCCGGCCCTAATTGATCATTTAAGTACCTATCCAACTCACTTATCGCATACCCACTTGTCCCCTTCAATCGTTTTGCTCTTTCTTTTAGTTTCCTCACATAATCGGAACCCACTCCTTTACTATTATCAATATCCATTGACATATTATCTCCACAATCTGGAATATTAGAAGTAGCATACATTTTTCTATATTCCTCAAATAAAGAGTAAGCGAACTCCTTCACATCATTAGCAAGTTTTGTACCCTTTTCCGGTCCATGCATATCCGTTAGTGTCAATTCAACAATGACCATCTTAGTGAGGGTCGAGAAGAAGAGCAACATAAATGAACTTATTCATCTTATCCACATCCCCCCAATACTTATCAAACTTTTTTTTCATTGCAATGGCCATGGCTTGAAAATTCAAGTCCTCACTTTGTTCCCAATTATTCAACATATCATACATAGAAGCAATTTCTCCTAAACCTTTATTAGCTGTCACATAATGGGAACCAGAAATTCGTTTAGTTAACAGATAAAACCCCCCTAGAAACAAAACCAACCTCTCCACTTTTTCCCAATCTTCGGGTTCGGGAGGCCTTTCATTGTCATTCAAATCCTCTCCATCAGGAAGAGATAACCCACTAAAAACACGTCGAAACTTCAAAGCCGTTTCCAACATTATGTATGTGGAGTTCCAACGAGTGGGGACATCAAAGGATAAAGAAGATTTTGAATCTATGTTTGCTTTTTGCACAAGATCTTTGAATCTAAGTATTCTTGCAGGGGAATTCTTAACATATTTCACAGCATTTCTAACTCTATCAATGCACACACCATGTTCTCTAATACCATCCCACACAATTAAATTAATGATATGAGCAATGCATCTAACATGGAGATTTTTTCCATCATTTATACATCCTGTTCTTCTAACCATTCTACTCAAGTGTGCACAAGCAACATCATTTGAAGAAGCATTATCAACAGTGACAGTAAAAAGTTTATCATCAATACCCCAATACTCTAAACATGCCTCAACTGCTTTTCCAATAGCCTCTCCTTTATGACTAGAAATTGGACAAAAATTTATGATCTTTTTATTCAATTTCCAGTCATTATCAATGAAATGAGCTGTAAGACACATATAATTAATTCTTTGTATTGAAGTCCAAGTATCAGTGGTCACAGAAATTCTTTGACATGTCTTAAACATTTCTCTCAATTTCTCTTTTTCACTATAATACAACTTTAAACAATCACGAGCAATGGTAACACGAGATGGAATGTGAAATTGTGGACATGCAACTTGCACAAAGTGCCTAAAACCGGATTTTTCCACATGCTTAAATGGTAACTCATCAACAATAATCATGTGAATCAATGCCTCTCTAACATCATTCAAGTTAATAATCCTACTCCCACACTTTAATTCACTACTCTCATGTTCTTGATCAAAATACAATTTAGTTTGCTTTTCTTTGCCCTTTTCTTTTTCTATATTAATAGGATTACCGAGACATGATTCTGCATGGTTTTTAACATTTTTTGAACCATTAAGATTACCATCAGCAGCAAAAGTTTTAGGACAGAACTTACATTCAGCTCGTAGTTTTCCATTCTCGACGTACTCTAAGTAATATTTCCAATACTCAGCTTTCCTCTTACTTTTTCTGTTCCATATATATTCCCGCCCCGCTTTTAGCTTCTTATCAGGAGGCAAAGTAGATTGCAATTCTTCCATATCCTTTTCAGAAAGTGGCTGTGACGTTTGTTCAGAAAAAGAAGCAGACCGTTTGGATTGAGAGCTCTCCATCTACAATATAATTATATACAATATAAGTAATTTTAAAGTAACAATTATATACACATACCATTTTATAAAAAAAATTTAAGAGCAACTTACATTGCAAGAATAAGAATCCGTGGTTCCTTGACTTCCTTCACTCCCTGCAAGAATAAAAACAAAAATAAGAACCCCTGAACTACACACAGGTTAGCCAACTTATTTAATCTTAATAATCTGAGTCCATACTTTTAGCAGCCTAGCAGGAATAAACACAAATTTTAAAGTATAAGTTAGCTTAAAAAGTGTCCATATATACACATTAGAAATATCAATACACATTAGAAATACTTTCAACTTTCTGAAATTTATGTTAAGAAAAAAATGAGAGAGGCATTGCCCACACAACACAACACAACACAACACAACCAACTTTCTGAAATTTATGTCAATACCCAGATCCACCACTGCCCACACAACACAACACAAGTACACAACCAGCTTCATTGGCAGCCCCACCCCTAGCCGCCTTCTGTGACACTCCACCCAAATTATGGATATTCAGGTAAGATGGTGTTTTACTGGTTGTATTGGACAAAAGTGTTTTACTGATAAGATGAGCTATGTACTTTTGGAGACTTTGGAGTAACGAACTAACTTGAAATGGCTTTCTATAGGACTTGTTTATGAAGTCAACGTTAGATTCTATTTTCAAAGTTGCATTTGGAGTTGATCTAGACAGTATGTGTGGCTCAAATGAAGAAGGGAAGAAATTTGGCCAGGCTTTTGATGATGCTAGTGCTTCAACCATGTTACGATATGTAGACATCTTTTGGCCTATCAAGAAATTTCTCAACATTGGCGCAGAGGCTAAACTTAAGAGAAGTGTCAAAACTGTTGATGATTTTGTTTACAAATTAATCAGTAACAAAGTGGAACTAATGAAAAGTTCACAAAGCAATGTCTCAGTAAGTGAATCATAACTTAGAAGTCTGTAATCATATCGGTTTACTGAGGAGATTAATGCATTCTTTCTGTGTGAATTTGTAGGAAATGCAGATGAAAAAGGATGATATCTTGTCAAGGTTCCTGGAGCAGAGCGACACTGATTTGAAGTATCTGAGAGATATAATCTTGAGCTTTGTAATTGCGGGTAAAGACACAACAGCAGTTACACTTTCATGGTTTGTTTACATGCTTTGTAAACACCAGAATATACAGGAAAAGGTTGCTGAAGAAGTAAGGAAAATTACGAAAATGGAAGGAGTTGGAAAATTTTCAGAACTTGCTGCTAGTTTGACAGAAGAATCACTTGAAAGAATGCAGTATTTACATGCTGCATTGACAGAAACTCTCAGACTCTATCCAGCAGTTCCAATGGTAATTCTAGCTAGTCGCAGTCAGAAAATTTCATTGCTCTCATAATCTCATTGTTTGTTCTCTTCCTTTTTATTTTTCTCTTTTGTGTTACACGTTACTTGCTGAAGTTTATGTCAATTTCAGAGGCACATTCCAACTTATCATATATCAACCAAGCTAATTTCTACCTTTCTCTCAATTTCTAATTTTGAAATCAAAATAATTGCATTTTCTCTAATTTCAAAGTCCAACCAAAAGGAGTCTAAGAAATTCAGGTACTTGACAAAAATAAACAATGCAATCATGATGAAAAACTAATTGTCCTCTGCTACAATCCCATTACCAAAACATAAAAATAAATAAATTCGAAGATAAACCATACTTGTTATCAATTCTAAACATTAAACCCTAAAACCCTAAACTTTAAACTAAAAAAAACCAAAAAAAAAAACATAAATTCGAAAGAAATTCGAAAATAAACCAAAAAAGAAAAAACATAAATTCGAAAACATTGAAGTAAAAAAAAGAAATTCAACATGCAAACATCAAATAATCATTATAAGCAATTGAAACATGAATAAACATATAAATTCTAACACTTAATTCATTATTTCGAATACAAAATACCCAAACATAATTAGATAATTTAGATTTACATTAAAAAAAAAATAACTTACCGGAGAAATGGAAAATCGCGTAGTAGCTGTCTCATGCGGTGGTCGGTGGGCGCCTGGGCTTCGCCTGAGAGAGTGAGGAAGGCAGGAGGTGTCGGCGGTGGGCGTTGCCGCGTTGGGCTGACTCGGCTGAGACTTGCGTGACTGCGTGTCTGCGTGAGGGAGAGGGGGAGACAGCCTGTTTGTTAGGGTTAGAATGAAATGAAAGAGAATTCAAGCGTCACTCAAGGCCTCAAGCTGTCAAGCAGCAGCATTATTTTAATTTTTTTTTTTTTTTTTTTTTTTAAAAAAAAAAAAACAATTTTTCCGGGTTTCAGGTCCGGACCTGAAAACCCCGGGTTTAGACCGGGTCCGGACCGGAACCGGGAACCTTGATTTTTAAGGACCGGGACCGGACCTGAATCAACAGGTCCGGGTCAGGTCCGGTCCGGATCAGGTCGGTTCAGGTCCGGTTTCAGGTCCGGTCCAGTTTTTGTACACCCCTATATATATGTATGTATTAACGCGCAGGTACAACAACATATATATTGGCGCCAAAATTTATTGTAGGAATATGAATTGCAAAAGGGCCAGGATATTAGACGAATATAATTATTTAATTTTTTTTAAAAAAATAAGCGACCTTGGAGAGACCACTTATTTTAAATAAATGGTCTCATTATTCAAAAAAGAAAGACCACTCATTTAAAATAGGTGGTCTCAGTATTTAAATCTAGAGACCAACTATTTAAATCATTTGGTCTCTTATCCCTCTATATTATTTTTTATTAAATAAAAAAAAGAGACCATCTATTTTAACTAGGTGGTATAAGGTATTGTAGGGTTAGACCACTTTTAATAAAGTGGTTTGTTTGGCCAAAGAGACGTGTGAGCTAGAGACCACCTCTAAGGTAGTCTTTTTGGCCATTTTGATATGGTCTCTTTGGCTATTTTTGTAGTAGTGAGTATATAGTGCTAAAAAATTATGAACCCCACATGTGAGTGGAAATATTAAGTCCATGAACACCCACATGTGAGCATTATTTTGTCCCACACACAAAAGACTAAAGGGGAAATGTAGTGAAAATGAAATTCCACATTGAAAGAATTCAAGACCACTATTATATAAAGCTAAAAGGTTACTCCCTTCATTGCCATATGCTTTTAAAGTACAATTTCATTGGTCTGGTAAAGTGGCAAACTTGCACTCTGTGATGCGTGTGGCACAAACGTGTATTTGACTATGTTTCGAATTTTTTATGAATAATTTCTTGTAAAAGAAGGCCAGCGGTGCCTAGAGAGTAGAGATTTGAGACAGAACACAAAAAATCCTACAGCCTTGCAGCGCACTCTTAGGAACCATGTTTATCAACTAATAAAAAAACAAAACCTATAATTAATTTTTGTGCAAGTTTATAATTTTTAATTAACACATGATATTAACGATGAATCTGTCATTTTATTATTTATAATATTCATATAAAGTGTTGAAAAGAGGGAGCCGAGTTGGTATCAAATGAAGTAACATGAACATGAACACTACTGATCCATCTTTCTTCAAAATATTATTTTATTAATATTATTTCTTGATTTTTTTGTTAACTTAAATTAATGATCACGTCACGTTAATAGAACAAATAAAAGCTGGCTTCAGAAACAATAATACACTGCTAAGCAGTTAATTGCCTAACTAAAATTATACAATAAGATAATGTTTGTACAAAAAATAAAATGAAAACAATTACACAGAGCTCAATGTTGTTTTTAACTGGAAAGTTTACGTACAAAAGTACAAGACTTCATGTAAATCCACAAAAAAGTTAATTAAGTATTAGTATATTATTTGATTATGATTACAATCTAATCTTCATGATCTGACTGTTCGGCAAACCAAGAAGTCAAAAAAATGGTATAAGAGAGGGAATAGCTAGTTTATTGTTACCAAAATATAATGTGGATTGAGTTGGTTTTTTTGTCACTATCCTCTTGTAATATGCCAAAGGCCCAAAGGATGGAACTCGCATTAGCTGTAACATGTAATTGATGCATATAAACAAGTTGATAAGGTGCAAAGCAAAAATTGAATTTTGGTGTACATTTTTATATTTCGCAGATAGCTTGGTTTAAGTCATAAGAATGTTTCCTATAAATTGTAAATATGTAATGAATCTTGACTGAAATATGAAGTACAAGAAGTATTTATGACTATTTATTTACATATAGGAAAATATAGTATTTTTTTACTTTAATTTAATATTCACTTCACATTATCCTAAACTTATAGTTAAGAATGTACAACCAAGCAAAGCTTGGTGGAGTCGATGAGCAATTCACCTTTGAGGTCACAAGTTCGAGCCCCACCTACTGCAAAAAACTTGGGGGTAGCATAGCATCCGACTCGTAATTTTCGGATCCGAATCTGGTCCGTTTATACGGACCTCCGAAATGATCCGAATATTTTTTTAATTTTTATTTTATGTAATGTCATATACCTATAATTGCTTATATTGTCATACCTATTAAAATATAAACATAACATATTTAAATTATAAACTAAGTTGCATAACAAAATTTTGCTACAAAACAAGCAAATAATTGTCCCAAGTTATAGAGCATATATGCTTATACTCTCGGATTCGGACTCGGGTCGGACTCCATCGGACTTTACGTAGGGTCCAAGTCCGATCCACCTCCTATTCGGATTCAGATCTATTTTATCGGATTCGGACTAATTTTAAACGGATTCGAATTGGATTTTTTTTCTTCGGATCGGATCAGATTTGAATCAAACTTGGATTAAATTGCCATCCCCAGGTATAACTAAAAAAAACAGAGAAAGTATAATTTATTCTAATCTAGACTTAAATTATTGCACACCCTATTGACCAAATTCCACTTATACAAGGAGCTTACTAGCTTAGTAATTATCCCGGACCAATGCATATACACTATTATTAGAAAATACATCAGTTCATAGACTTCATACCTCATTATATATTATACAAAGCTCTTCTCAAGATTCCATCACTGCAAGAATTTATTTTTATTAGGTATAACAACCTCAAACCTAAGAAACAAATTATAAGAATTACTCTGTTAATGAATAAATGTTTTACAAGATTAAAATGGTCGTTTATTTTATTTTATTATTTAAAATTTGGTAAAATAATATGATCATGTCTTTCACCGTACCCCCAAAAAAAAACATCAAGACTAACTTATTTAATTTTAGAAGGTACCGTAAGATGAAAAATCCTACAAGATCGGAATTCCTCACGAAAATTGGGTTTTAGAAAGAGGGGATCTCTTCTTCCCCCAGTGCACCTAACCAGAATTGAATTGAAAAGTGCTCTCCTTTTGTTAGGTCAATGCAAGATAAATTGATCATGACCAACTTGGTTGGAGTATTTATCGTTCACCTTCTGTTTTTGGTGTACTTGCAACTCTTTTCTTATCATGCTTGTCGATTTATTATTTCTATCTATAATAACTTTAATTACGAATAATATATAAAAAATTTAATCATTAATATGAAAATACTATTATTTAAGACGAACCAAACACAATTACATTTTGTTTTTCTTAGTTATGAATCATCAATCCTAATCAAAGTAAAGCAAATAAATCGAGTATATAAAAATCGGAGGAAGTAAATACGTAGTGTCCGAATGAAGTATTCATCCTTTCTCTCTCCAAAACCCTAGCCTCCATTGTTGAATTTTGAAGGGGTTTCCATCGATTTTAATCGGTGGAAAGCCCCAATCCTTGTTTCTTTATTGTTTTTTTTAGGTTTATAATAATACTTCTTCCTTTTGGGAGGAACTTTTCTCCCTCGAAAGAAAGGGTTTCCGATCTCCTTCGAAAGACAAGAGTTTTTCGACCTCCTTCGAAAGACAAGGTTTATCTCCTCTTTTCGAGGGAGAAATTTCTTAGTTTTGAATCTATGGTAGCAGATCTAATGGATTGTCGTGAAATTATTTCGTTGGTGAAAAAGTTATCAAGTTTTCGAATACGAACAGATGAATCGGAAGGAAATCATCCTCACGGCTACAAAGGATCATTAGATTGTCTCTCCAACAAGGCTGTAATTTTCAGCGATATAAGCGGGAGATGCTCCGCAATGCAAGATCTACTCGACGATCGTAGTTTTTATGAAGGAAAATTGTATTTGATTCAATATCTTATATATTTGTTAACGTCGAATCTCTATTATATATGTCGTATGACTTTTAATTAATGAAATATTTTTGTTTTTCAAAAAATAAAAAAACGTAGTGTCCAGGTTTGTAACCCTTGCATGTGGATTACCTAGCAATTTTAGTTTATAGTATGAGTGTATGAGTACAGCTCAGTCAATTGACAAAAGTTGTCACCACTTTAGTAGTTTAGTAACTTCTAATATCCTGCAACATGGTACCAAGTGTCCAAGTATCCTTTCTTAACTAGTTTTGGACTTTTGACTCAATGATCTGTAAATGGTACTTTTTATTAGCAGATAAACAAATGAGTTAAGGAATTTTAGACAATTATTACTAGGACAACTAATGGATTTCGAAATCAACCATATATAAAGTAAAAAATAAAAAACAAAATAACCAAAAATAAAATAAAATAAAATAAACAAAAAGGTTAATAGTTTCCGTGGAAAGAATTTGCTTATCCTAAAGTGTATTCATATGTATCAAACTTAACCTCTGCCTTGTGGTACTATAAATCTAATTAATCAAGTTAAATATTTTTTTTTAATTAGTACTATGCATGACAGCATGAGCCATTAAATTAAAGGTCCTTTCACCTTCACTAAAATCCTTAATGTCATGTTGTATACCATTCCTAAAATTAGAAGAATACATTATATGGAATGAATTATGGATTAGGAGGAAGTATAAATGGAGGGGTGTGAGACATGGTGAAATGTCTCACAACTATTAAAAAAATAAAATGTTACAATGAAGAGAGAGAATGGAGGAGAGAGATAGGAAAAGTAAAAAAGGCAATGCGGGCTCTACTAATACTTTTCAGATATATGTTCACGTGTAAAAAATTTACAGGAGCCACTATCACCGAGTTTATATTTTGTTCCACTTAAACTTCAATTGAATTTTTTTTAGTATCAATGAGACTATATTTTATATCACTAAAAGTGCATTTTGTTCCACTGAAACTCCAGTGGTATTATTTAACTGCTCAATGAGACATTTATAAAATGACGTCTAAAATGCCCTTTTGCGAGACATAGTTTTATTGTCTCACAACCCTCCGTTTGGAAGCCCTCATGGAGGAGCTCGAAATTCTAGTAAATGAAAAGATTAGCTCAGATACTACTAGGCTTTGGATTAATCATTAAGTCAGTATGCGTGTAATTGCATAAAATAGAAAGTATACGCTCAATATTATTGCTACAATACATACAATTATTAATCCCACTCCCGCCTCTCCACTCAATACCGTATCAGTTTTTTTTTTTTTTTAAATACATTTATCTAATGCACAACTTTGATTTTAATTACCTTATATCTTGAGTAAGCTAATTCACATGTCAATTTCAATTGTATCTTGACAATAATCTCCACTTTTATGTTGAGACTTGAGAGTAATTCAATAGTCAATATAGTAAAATTCAATCGTTCCATGTATTCAACATCATTCTGATTTTCTACAATTTAATTCAATCCGGTTAGACTGAATACTTTACACACTTTCAACCGCTAATCTCCTACAATTGAAAACCACTCTTTTTCAAATCTGTGGCAAAAACATAAAAATTCAAAAAACTTACAGCTGTACTTGCAAAGAAATAAATATTAAGAACTAGTAATATCTGAAATATTATAAAACAGAGATGTATACAACAACCTATTCCAAGTATCCGGCAATCCAGGCAAACACCAATGGCTACAATCAGCGTAACCCAAAACATTCTCGAATTTCTTCGTAATGTTCTTCCAGTCCATGCTCCTATAAACCGATGGATGTGCATCCATTCGATATGAAGAAAGCTTGGTAATGTTCTGTTGTGCGACAGCGGAAGCAAAGGTCGTAAACAAACAAGAAAACAATAAAGAAATTCAATGCAAACAATAAGAACAACACCAAGAATTTACGTGGTTCACTATCGATGTGATAGCTACGTCCACGGGCACCGAGATCGAATGATTTCACTATAAACTGCAAAGATTACAAAGATGATTCTTGTATTTCTCAAGAACGGCTTTCACTCTGTCTCTCTTTTTAACCCTAATACTGATATTAGGGAGGTTTTATATTAATCCCTAAAATAAAAGATACTTGGGCAAAAAGATAACATAAAAGATAACTTTAAATCGTAAAATCCGCGTCTCCGCATTTTTCCTTCTCCGCCCGGTCAGACCGGGCAAGGTCTGCCCGATCGGGCGCGAGAAGAAAACTCCATACGAATGCTTCAACATATCCAACCCCCACCGCCCGGTCAGACCGGGCAAGGTCTGCCCGATCGGGCGAAGGCTCGCCCGGTCGGGCGAAGGCTCGCCCGGTCGGGCGCGAGAGCAGCTTCTTCAACGAATTTGCCAGGCACCTCTTCTTCTTCCGCCCGGTCAGACCGGGCAATGTCCGCCCGATCGGGCGGACAAAGCTACGAAGTACGAGTCACCTAATATACTTATCAACAATCTCCACCTTGACGAGAACTCGTAGTCAGCAAACGACCCCATCAAGACATAGTGAAAAAACATCTCAAGCCAAACCCGATGCAGGACTCATGCATAAGCCATACATCCCGATAAGTCTTCAACCAAGACCCATCACATACTCGTCTCCAAGTATAACAACTCATAATGCTCCACCTGCATCACAAGCCCCGGGCAAGCTCCACCTTAATGCCAACACACCTACACCAGGAGCTCCCCAACTTCGCCCCTCAGGACCTACTACATCACGTAGTAATCAATATTTAACAAGTCTAAGCAATGTTTAAACTTGCTAAACGGAACAGGCTTAGTGAAGAAATCAGCCGGGTTGTCAGCAGTCCCAATCTTCTTCACCTTAATCCTCTTGTCAGTACGTAAGAAATGATACCTGACATCAATGTGCTTCGTCCGATCATGGTGTACTTGATCTTTAGCTAAGCAAATCGCACTTAGACTATCACAATACACTGTAGCAAAATCCTGTGCAATACCCAGTTCACCTACTAGGCCTTTGAGCCAAATAGACTCCTTAGCTGCAGAAGTTAAAGCCATATACTCAGCTTCAGTAGTTGACAACGTAACTGATGACTGCAATGTAGACTTCCAACTAACCACAGAACCACCCAAAGTGAACACATAACCAGTCACAGACCTCCTGGTATCCACATCAGCTGCATAATCAGAATCACTGTACCCAGTGACCAAGCATTCCTTACCATTCCCGTACACAAGACCAATATCAGCTGTCCCTCTCAGGTAGCGAAAAATCCTTTTCACCCCTTGCCAGTGTTCCCTCCCAGGTCGAGCCATAAACCTGCTTACAACACTAACAGCATGCGCAATATCCGGCCTAGTACAGACCATAGCATACATCAAACAACCAACCGCGTTTGCATATGGAACTCTAGACATATAAGACAACTCCTCCTCTGATTGAGGTGACATAGACAAAGACAACTTACAACTAACAGTAGTTGGCGTACTTATAGGCTTCGATTTTTCCATCCCAAAACGAGACAAAATCTTTTCAATGTAGCTTTTCTGAGTCAAGAAAAGCTTACCTCTAGCCCGATCCCTGTAGATCTCCATACCCAAAATCTTCCTAGCTGCACCCAAGTCTTTCATGTCAAACTCCGAGTTAAGCATCTCCTTTAATCTAGCAATATCAGATTTATTCTTTGTGGCAACCAACATGTCATCAACATATAACAAAAGATAAATCATGGAACCATTATCCAGCTTACTATGATACACACAGCAATCATATGAATTCCTGTCAAAACCTTGTGAAACCATAAAAGAATCAAACCTTTTGTACCACTGTCGGGGGGATTGCTTAAGTCCATACAATGACTTTAGCAATCTGCAGGCATAGTGTTCCTTTCCAGGAGCTTCGAATCCTTCGGGCTGCTTCATCAGAATCTCCTCCTCCAAATCGCCATGAAGGAAGGCCGTTTTAACATCCAACTGCTCCAGCTCAAGATCAAAATGTGCTACAATTGACAATAACACACGGATAGAAGTATGTCGAACCACAGGTGAGAATATCTCAACAAAGTCAACCCCTTCTACCTGACTGAACCCCTTAGCAACTAGCCTAGCCTTAAAACGTATTTGCTCAGTTTCCGACAACCCTTCTTTCTTCTTGTAAATCCATTTACAACCCACAAGCTTCCTCCCTTCCGGTACCTTTACCAGTTCCCACACTCTGTTCTTGTAAAGAGACTGCATCTCTTCACCCATTGCGGCAAGCCATTGCGCAGACTCACTACAACTAATTGCTTGTTTATATGTGGCAGGTTCAAATGACTCTACATCATCAGCTACACTCAATGCATAACCTGTCATCGCATCAACACAGCAATTTCTTCCCTCCATCTCTTCAATCAATCTAACAGGCTTCTTGATAACTCGTTTAGGCATCTCAAGAATGGTGTCAGGTTGACTAGATGACCCCTGATTAGATTGCTCCACCTCATCCCCAGAGTTAGAATGAGTAGGAGTAATCTCAGGTTCAGGAGTACCCGGCACTGGAACATCAGCATCATCATCAATATATTGTACCCGAGGTAAATCAGCAATGGTAGACTGATGTACCTCAAGTACCCCATCTGTCTGTAATAAATTGTCTCCTTCCCTTCTCAAATCTGAAATCTCTGCATTTTTAATTGAATACATGGTGTTTTCATCGAAAGTAACATCCCTACTAAGAATGACCCGACCCTCCGAAGGTGAAAAAATTCTAAACCCCTTCACACCATCCCCGTACCCAACAAAACACCCCTTCTTGGCTCGTGGATCCAGCTTACCCTCAATAACATGATAATAAGCAACACAACCAAAAATCTTCAAATTCGAAAAATTAGGCAACTTACCACTCCAGATCTCAAACGGAATTTTGGAATCAATTCCAGAATGAGGACCCCTATTAATGACATAACAAGCTGTTAACACAGCTTCACTCCAGTACCTCCTCCCAAGCCCTGCATTAGAGAGCATGCATCGGACTCTCTCTAGCAGTGTCTGATTAACCCGTTCTGCTACACCGTTCTGCTGTGGTGTCTTCCTGACAGTATGATGCCGACCTATACCCTCATCTGCACAGAACTGATTAAACTCGTCTTTGCAAAACTCTAGCCCATTGTCCGTTCGTAGCTTCTTGATCTTCCTTCCTTGTCGATTTTCCACCAAAGCTTTCCATTGCTTGAAAACTTTGAAGGCCTCATCCTTTGACTTAAGCAACCTAAGCCATGTGTATCGGGACTTGTCATCAACAAATGACACAAAATAGTGGTAACCTCCCATACCTTCAACTCTAGATGGACCCCAGCAATCTGAATGGATGTAATCGAGCACTGCATCAGTAATGTGAGCACCCTTGCTGAACTTTGACCTGTGTTTCTTACCAAACACACAATGCTCACAAAATTCAAGGTTGGCAACCTTGACCCCGGATAGAAGACCCCTCTTGGACAATAGCTGCATCCCCTTCTCCCCCATATGACCAAGCCTCATGTGCCAAATCTTAGTCATCTCCTGGTGAGATACAGATGCGCAAACCGCAGAACTAGGCAGTGTAACACCCTCAAAAACATAGAGGGTGTTCCTTTTGATACCCTTAAGTACCAACTCAGAACCTCTGAAAATACACAACTCCCCATCTGAAAACACACCATTGTACCCCAATTCATCCAGGGTACCCAATGAAATCAGATTCTTTCCTAAAGCAGGAACATGCCGTACATTAGTCAAAGTTAACCTCCGCCCATCAACAGTCCTCAACCTCATGGAACCAATACCTGTGACCTTACATGGAGCATTGTTACCGACTATAACCATACCCCCATTGCGAGGTTCATATGTATCAAACCAATCTCGACGTGGACACATATGGAACGAACACCCCGAATCTAGAACCCAGTTATCAGATAAATCATCAGACCTAGCAGAACTGACTAATGCTAAATCTTCCTCTGAATTATAGCTCTCATTCGGTTTCTCTTCAACTACAGCAGCCTGGGACTTGTTTTTCCTCACCGGACAATTATTCCTAAAGTGACCCGGTTCTTTACAGTAATAACATGTTTTAGTAGTAGTTTTACTAGATCCATCCTTGCCGTTTCCAGCACCCGACCCAGCATTGTTCCCCTTGTTAAACCCCTTATTCTTTTTAGACTTTCCGGACTTAACAAATAACCCACTACCATTATCCCCATTATCACTCGTAGCTTTCATTCTGAGTTCCCTAGTATGAAGTGCTGCCTTCACTTCTTCTAAGGTTATAGAATCCTTACCAACAACAAAAGACTCTACAAAATTCTCAAAGCTAGACGGTAGAGATACAAGTAAAATCAACGCAACATCCTCATCATCAATTTTAACATCTAAATTACGTAAATCAAGCAAAATAGAGTTAAGTTTTTCTAGATGTTCCCGTAAGGAAGTACCTGACTGCATCCGGAGGCTAAACAACCGCTGTTTCAGTAATAATTTGTTGGTCAACGACTTAGTCATATACAATGACTCCAGCTTCAGCCACAATCCAGCCGCCGTTTCCTGATCAGCAACCTCCGTGATGATTTGATCATCAAGACTAAGTAATATGGTAGAGTGTGCCTTCTCTTCCATAACTTCTAACTGCGAGTCAGTCGGTCCGTCTCCTGACTCCGAAGTAGTACTCTTTGGAGCCAACGGACGCCATATCTGCTGTTGTTTTAACAGAGCCTTCATCTTAATTTGCCATAGCCCGAAACTATTTTTCCCGGTAAACTTCTCAATTCTTATTGTTGAATCTCCTGCCATTGTTATCTTCAAGAAACTCTCCAAGGATTGAACCTGAGCTCTTGATACCAATTGTTGTGCGACAGCGGAAGCAAAGGTCGTAAACAAACAAGAAAACAATAAAGAAATTCAATGCAAACAATAAGAACAACACCAAGAATTTACGTGGTTCACTATCGATGTGATAGCTACGTCCACGGGCACCGAGATCGAATGATTTCACTATAAACTGCAAAGATTACAAAGATGATTCTTGTATTTCTCAAGAACGGCTTTCACTCTGTCTCTCTTTTTAACCCTAATACTGATATTAGGGAGGTTTTATATTAATCCCTAAAATAAAAGATACTTGGGCAAAAAGATAACATAAAAGATAACTTTAAATCGTAAAATCCGCGTCTCCGCATTTTTCCTTCTCCGCCCGGTCAGACCGGGCAAGGTCTGCCCGATCGGGCGCGAGAAGAAAACTCCATACGAATGCTTCAACGTATCCAACCCCCACCGCCCGGTCAGACCGGGCAAGGTCTGCCCGATCGGGCGAAGGCTCGCCCGGTCGGGCGAAGGCTCGCCCGGTCGGGCGCGAGAGCAGCTTCTTCAACGAATTTGCCAGGCACCTCTTCTTCTTCCGCCCGGTCAGACCGGGCAATGTCCGCCCGATCGGGCGGACAAAGCTACGAAGTACGAGTCACCTAATATACTTATCAACATGTTCAAGTAGTTCACCTTTGGATTGTTCATCCCATTTATCATGGTCTCAATGGTATCAACAAGTGACTCTGGGTAGACGGATACATATGATTCATCTATTATTGGTTTTGTTACATTGTAGCACCATTGATTATATTGTCGACTTTTGTGCTCTGCTGAAATACTCCTGAAGTACACAGTTTTCGTGGAGTCTACGTTGTTTTCTATCCATGTAGCCCATGTTCTCATTGCCCGTTCGTATGCTAGCTCTAACGGCATTTCCTCTGTTAACTCTCCCTTGTACTCGAACAAATCCCACCTATTGTGTCATGAACAAAATTTAGAGTTAATTTTCATTGCAATATATTGTTGTAACATGGGGTAAATACCTGAAAATTAAGAAAATGAGCAAGTCCTAAACCACAAAGTTATACATTACCCTGTTTAATAACATGTGTACCATTTACTAAAATGATTGCTACTCTTTCAATTCGTTTTTAAGTTATCATTTCTCTTTATTTCTCTCTTTCATTACATTCATCTTTATCATTCACTTTAAACACTCCCAAACAAATTTAGTGTAGAAGTCCTTGACAAATCTTTGTTGCACCTCATATTAAACAAGGATAGTAGGTAAATTAAAAAAAAAAAAAACTCAAGTAATTTAAAACTTTTGAGATATGCATATTAGTTATTTATACCGCCAATAATGATGATAACATTTATAAATGAAAATTAGAAAAACGATGCAATATATTTTTTCCAATGTTTAAGTGATGGAATAAGTTTATTATTTTTTTTTTTTGTAAATTTGAGTAGGGAGGAGCACTAGACACACACCCGCGCACCCTCATCTATAGCATCTCCCATGTGAATAAAAAAAAATAGTCCACTTATTCAAAATTAAACAAAAATAATTCCAGTTAATAAAAAAAAAATAAGGTGGGAAGAACAAATCTTAAAGTACTGAGTATCAAGAGTATAATGCTATGTTTGGATAAGAAATTAGAAGGGAAATGGAAGGGAGGGAAATAGGAGGAAGGGGAAGGAAGGGAAAGTGGAGGAAATGATGAGCTCCATTTTTCCTCCAAATCTCTCCAATTTTGAAGGGATGATCTTTATTAAAGGAGGAGGGAAAATGGATCTCTCCCTCCCCCTTCCCTTCCTTCCCCCAACATAATTAACCCAACAAAGGAACTTTGTCTCCCTCCCTTTCCCTTCCCTTCCTTTCCTTCCATTTTTTGTTATCCAAACATAGCCTAAAGGTATGGGATACGTACGATTTCATTTTACCGGTATGAGACCACCAGTGACCGGAGTTGAAAACCATAATATCAGCACCCAGCCAATGTTTAGAATTGGGTGAAAGCTTGTCAAGAACAAGAACATTTTTGCCACTTTTGTGCTTTGTATCAAAATCAACTAAAAATGGGCTCCAGTAAAACTCAAAGGTGAAATTATAATCCTGCATTGGAAATGAAGAAAGCAACATGAATTGAACAAAGATTCCTTACCAAAATAAACAGGACATAATTAACCCAACAAAATAAATTAAAGTAGAAAATATAATAATTATATAAATACCTTTGCTTTAAGAACTTTATACAGTACTTGGTTGGCATGTACTTCAACTCTAGAAGATGGAATTGAAGTGTAAAGAAGGCAAGCTAGTGACTCCCACATGTTCCTGTTTAATGAATCACCTGATATCACCATACTCTTGTTTCTCAGCCTTTCTAACATGTCTGTTCCATTAAATCTGCCATAAGTAATTCAAATAAATGTTAATTATTTTTTTTTTCCTCAAGGAGAAACATAAATTCATTTTTCCCAAACCTATGTAGATGGTGAGATTCAAACTTGTGATTTCAAAGTTATATCACCATCCCGACCAAACATGCTGAACAGGTTTTGTTAACTATTTTTGAGGAGAAGAAGAAAATCCCTTGAAGCTCGAACTTATAATCTTAAAGTCATTAATAAATAAATTCCTCACCATCCCCACCGAGGATGCTCAGTTTAGTTAATGTTTTTAAATGATAGAACTAAAAATTAGATATTGGCTTGGTACAATTTGTATAAGTTTAAATTAAAACACTTACAATGGTATATCACAATTGTTAGCTTCCCATCTCCATTTCTCGTACTCGAAATCGGGCCTTCCGTTTACTCGACAACTAATCTTCTCTTCAAGGAAAGGACACTTGATCGAATCATAAGTAGGAGTTTCATCCGGGTTATAAACCCATTGCCCATCAAACATGTTACACTTCTTCTCGGTTTGGTTCATCGGAGTCGTCACGTTTTCGACGGCGATAACTTGATCATTCATCGTAGGGGCAAGAGCGGTAGCGTTTGAAACATCGATAGGATTAGTAGTGGTAAAATTTGAAGGGTCCAAAGTATTGATAATTTCATCGGTTGGCGAATCTAGCATTTTAAAAGGACCAAATTGTAGCATAGCATTTCTAGCAGCTAAAAGACTTGTGTTTTGGTGGCTTTTATCAAGGATTAGGAGTATAAGAAGGCAACCAACAAAGGTTCCTAGTGAGAAGAGCTTCCATGTTTCATTAATGGAGGATTTCAACTCCATATTTGTGTTTTGTTGTTTTATTTTGTGTTTTGGAAATATAAAAGTTGGTTCACTATTTCATAGGATTTGGAACTTAAAAGAGTATGTTCGAAGTAGGTTGGTTTTGTGTAAATAAGAATTTTTTATGCTATTTCTTTTAAGTTAATGTATATTATATGATTTAGCTTTTGCATTTTCTATGTATTGCACAGTATGATTAAGCATATGCGTATACATGTGTGGAGCATAAATATTAATAATAATTACAAATCTTTTTGAACCTGAAAAAAATAATAATTAGCACTGACATTATGGTCATTATTTTCATCAAATAAAGTACCGTAGTCTTTACCTGCTTAAACGGCAACTAAAGCATTCTTTGGTGGGGTGGGATATTATTACTGTGTTGTCTGTAATTCTGTATTAACAAAACATAGCCCACTAAGTACAGACCCTTAGTAGAATCACCTTTCCCCCACAAAAAAATTATTGATTTGCTTATTAGAGGTTTTTCGGAGGATTAAGGAAGAATCATACACTGCATATAATAGTTTGGGAAAGAGTTTAAGATTTAATTGATGAGGCAGATCTACCCTGCTTTTTATAGATACACAGATTTCCAAGATGTTAACTTGGCTAGAACATTTTGATAGATGAAGTTCACCTTAACTTTGGTGGTAGGAAAGCCAAGGTAAGGGCTGAGATCTTCAGTTTCTTTGATGGTTAAGGCATCACAATTAACAACACAATTTTCTATCCTATAAAAAAGTGTTTTTAGGAAAGGCACCTTACTCTTGCATTGCTAATGGACTCACCAGACAAGCTACAAAAATTGGTCAAGAATTTCTGTCATGGCAAGGGTATTCTCAAAGGATGTTTCACCAAAGAGTAGGATATCATCCGCAAACAAAAAATGAGATATAGGAGTACTGGTGCTTCTACCCATACGGAAAAGTCCACAAATTGTTATCGGTTATTTGGATGGTATACTATAAGAGGAGGTGTGAATTGTAGTATGTTCCTTAGTGCCTTATTTTTGTAGAATATAAAACGGTTGACATTAGGAAGTTAGACAATGCAAAGCGGATTTTACGCTACGAGAAAATCTTTGAAGGCCCAACTGGAAGTAAAACCTACCTCGACCCTATCTACCAGGGATTTTGAACACAAACACTTCATTATAATAGGGCAACACATCACCTAGTTACAACCTATTATTAGACCTGGAAAATGGGTCATTCAGGTCGGGTATGGGTCGGGTCATTTTGGGTCGGGTCAAGTTCGGGTCAAAAGATTATCGGGTCAAGTTCGGGTCGAGTCGGGTCATTTCGGGTTTCGGGTAGATTTCGGGTCGGCTGATAATCGAGTCGGGTCGGGTATCGGGTCAACACTTCGGGTCGAGTTCGGGTTGGGTCAAGTTTGGGTCGGGTCAGTTTGGGTCGCGTCAATTTTCGGGTCGGGTCAATTTTCGGGTTGGGTCAGTTCGGGTCAGGTCAATTTTCGGGTCCAATTTTCGGGTCAACTTCGGGTCGGGTCATATTCAGGTGATTCATTGGGTTAAATTCAACTCTGTATATATATATATATTTTTTTTTTTTTTTGACGAAAAACTCACTATATTTATTAAGGCTAATTTTTTCATGGATTATAGTAATTGTTTGACTTTTATTAACCTTTTTTTTTTGTGTTTAGAATTTTTAGACTGAGAATCACTTTCAGGATCTCCTGAAACTAAGAGGGATGCTCTAACTAATTGAGTTATACCTCACTCTCTTATTGATCTTAGTTTTAATACGTACTCTTATTATCATTGTCATTGTTGTAATAATTTATTTGAATTATTCTTATATCCCCTCCGTCCCAAATTACTCTTAACGATTTGACATTTTGCACTATTCACACATCTCACTTTGACCATCATTTTTAGCTATTATGTGAAAGTCTATGTAGTCATGTAAGATGTTATTGGGTCTATTTTAATGTATATTTTTTTAATATAAACTTTTTATAACTTATATAATTATTTACTAAAAGAAGTTAAAGGTCGGGTCATTTTTGGGTCGGGTCAACTTCGGGTCTCGGGTCAACTTTGGGTCGGGTCATTCGGGTCGGGTCGTTTCGGGTTGGGTCATTTCAGGTTTCGGGTCAAGGTAGGGTCAGTTCCACTTCGGGTCACGTATGGGTCAGGTCGGGTTAATTCGGGTTTCGGGTCAATTTCGGGTCACTGGTTTCGGGTCGATTTTGGGTCATGGGTCGGGTCATTCGGGTCGAGTCATCGGGTATGGGTCAGGATTGTCAGGTCTACCTATTATACAAAGCACTTTCTTACAAGTTCCTATCCGGTACTTATTCACAAGCTCTTACCCGGAAACTTGCTACTCAATAGGACCCAATCCTACCTGACCTAAATCAGTAGAGACTCAGATTCACACGGCACTCCGAGAGTGCTCTCACTCGGCTATGAAGGAAATATGTATTCGATAAATGAAATTACTAGATATATCAAGTATCACTATTTTGGAGATAATAAGTCCATTCTTTTGGGTCGTCATTGTCTGTTGCTAGATTATGATCAATGATCTTTGGGCTAGTCAAATAGTCCAAAGCCCACTAGAATGGATCCTATAACGTCACACAACAAGGGTATTGGGTTAAACAAGTAAGAGGCCCATTAATGGGCCTCATGAGAATATGACAGTTCATGAATGGAGTTGGCCTAGAGTAGTTAGATTAGAGTTAGGTATTTGGGCTTGACATGGACTCTTATTTGGAGATATGATATATAAATAAGATTCATGCCTATGGTTGCATTAATTCACAATTAACTTAAAGTAAATTGTGAAACAAGGCAACCAATCCCAAAAACCCTAAGCTCTCTCTCTCTCTCTTTCTCTCACTCACTCTTACGCACGCCCTCCCCACTCACCCCTCCGTACGGCCGGCCACCCTAGGTGGCGTGTGGTGTTCGTGGTGGTGGTTCTTGGTTGGTTTGTTCCTCTCTTCACCGTATAAGGTTGATTTAAAGGTTCAATCACGACTAACTAGAATTAATGGAGGTTTAATCTATGCCTTTAGACCAAGTAGTGGAATCGGGCTTGAGGTTTCTTATCTCCATTGTTCTTGCTCGATCGCACATTGAATCACGCTTTAAAGGTATAATTACTTGTTCTTTATGTGTTATACAATGATCTTGGTTATTCAATGCTTATGAATATGATTCATGAAATTCCTCTTAGAGTATCTAAAATCTTACAGTGGTATCAGTTAGCCTATTGCATTTACGCATATTAAATTTTAATTCTTTGAATGTCTACAATTTTAATTCAATTAGGAGGGAAAATAATTTAATTATGGGTCAATTATTATTTTAAATGTGATTTAACATATGGAATTATTAAAAGTGATTAAATTTGCTCAAAATTAGCCATCAAAAGATCTGAAATTTTGCCCTAGAAAATCGAAAATTTCGAACCCCTATACCCTAATTTTCGAAAAATTCAAAACCCTAAACCCTAAATTATGATTTTTGTGTTTTGATAATGATTTAATTCGATTGCTATTTGATTTATGATTTTAATCTATTTGATTTCATGTTAAATTATGAATTTTTAATGATGAAATTATTTAATTTAAGAGTTAAATTGAATTGGGGATTAATTTCATGAAGAACATAATTTCAAGATTGAATATGATTTATTTTTGAAATTTATTGGAACAATTTATAATTAATTTAATATTAATAAAAGATTTGTTTTACTTTAAATTAAAGTCAATAAAAAAAAAGGTTTTTGGGTGCGGCAACCACAGCCGGGTTTTGTAGCCACGACGGCTGCCGCAGCAGGTGGTCTGAGCTAGGAGGAAGGTGCGGGGTGGGGCGGCAGCTCGGGTTAGGAGGTGTAACAACAGCAACACCGTGCAACAGTTGTGCGACACTGCTGTTGTTGTTGTTGTGCGTCACTGTTGTGCACCGTACACCAACCGGTGTACAACCACCGTGGCTGGATTCGGCTGGCCACACCATGGTGGCTGGCACAGTTTTTCAAAAAAAAATATTTAATTTTATTTTTGATAAAATCATATTTTAAAATTAAAAGGTAAGTTTTGATTTTAAGAAGATAATTGTCAAAATTAAAGTTGGTAATTTTGTTAAGTTTGGATAAGTTTTGAGAGTTTTGAGCAAAAAGATTCGATAGAGTTAATAATTAATTAAATAATGTGATTATCCCATAGTTATTTTAGGAGTATAATTAATTTAAAATATTATTATTGGCTAGGCAATTATGATAGAATCTCCTAAATTAGTTAGGATAATCATGGGAGATAAATATGATTTATCTTCTATAATTAAAATAAAATTTGATTCTATCTCATACCTAAGATAGAATATATGATATTTTATGATTGGTATTGAATAATATATTATATTATCTAATTGCAATAATTTATTTAAATATGAGATATTAAGGTGGTCATGTTTCCTCAATTATGAACATTCGATATTGTAGTTTAGGAAAGCATGATGAGTTATTTATTATATGCCACTTTATAATATATAATATTATTTATTGCTATATATAGACTAGTATGACCCATAGATTCTAAATACAATATGCGCATCGTTCTGTATTTTTGTAATTTAAATATGTTTTGCGTACCGTTATGTATATATTTTTGTAATTTATTTTATTTTATTTAAGTAGTAGATAGAATAGAATAATATTACAAGTTGCAAGTGATTCAAGAAGCCAACGGAGTGAAGGCCCAAAGGAGCTAGATAGATAAGATTCATGAAGGTTCAAGTGGGAGTTTTGCTTTATTAGTTTTCTTAGGATTATGGGTCATACTATGTCATTTTATTTATGCATTAGTAGATTATGCATGTTAGATTTTATTGATGCTTGTGATGATGCACTAGAGTTCACTAAATAATCACAGCATAATGAATCTAGGTCCCGGTAATATTGAGGTTGCTTTTCCTATTAAAAACCCAATAAACCTTTGATATTTATGATAGGTCATGCCAAAGCTGGGTGTCATTTTATATCTTGGAAAATTTAGGGTAAATCAAGTTTTACAATTTTAATTGGTTATACTCAACAAAGTTACCTAGAGCGTTTAGAACCTTGAAGCAAATGGGTAATAATTAAACATCTGATGGTTA